GAAGCGAGGGGTTATTGTAGACGCTCCATTTTGCTACAGCATGTCTACACTAACAACTGCTTTTCAATGCACAGGTTAATGGATCATTAGCTCTTTCCGATTTGTGTTTTGAGATTTTGTCTGAGTAAGGGCAGTGTCTGGATTGATTAACATATTTCCTTCTGGCTCAGCTTGCCACACAATGGTTTGCTGCTGTATCATCAACTCATACAAAGTGAACCTCTGCTTCTTAGTAGATCAGTATTGCAGATACCAAGGCAAGTTGGACTACTAATACAGACCTCACAAACTTCTCTACAAACAATGGGAAAGTTATTGATCTCTAAAAAGTCAAAAATAATAATGCCTTAGACAGAACAGATACCATATTTAGTAAGTACTGTAACAATTACAGTGTCTGCAATCACTGACTGTCACAGATTGATGCTGCTTAAATAGTAGAGAACAAGACATATTTCAATGATAGCCATTCACTTACTTGAATTTAAACATTACTGCCTCAATTCACTACACATACTAGTAATGAAAAGGGAACCAATTTAAAGATAACAGAATATTTGTAATGCCACCAAATGGGGCCTTATGTAAATGATCCACTTTAGTACCTGTAAGAATCTTTATTTATTTATTTTCCTTTCAATTTAGGCTTTTGGACAATTATTTAAGATACAATCATTTGCTTACAGTGTTACTAGACAAAGGCTAAGAACCCTAAAAGCCCTGGGGGGTTGAGATCAACATTGCAAGAGGGATCTTATGTTAGCACAGGGGTGAACAAACTTTTTGGCCTGAGGGCCATATCTGGAAATAGAAATTTATATGGTGGGCCATGAATGCTCACAAAATTTGGGTTGGGGTGCGTGAGGGTTTGAGGGCTCTGGTTGGGGGTGCGGGCTCTGGGGTGGGGCCAGAAATGAGGGGGGTGTGGGGTGGGGTGAGGGCTCTGGCTGGGAGTGCGGGGGCTGGGGTGGGGCTGGGGATGAGGAGTTTGGGGTGTAGGAGGGTGCTCCAGGCTGGGACCGAGGGGTTCGGAAGGCAGGAGGAGGATCAGGGCTGGGGCAGGGAGTTGGGGCATGGGGGGAGGCGCAGGAGTGCAGGCTCCGGGTGGCGCTTACCTCAAGCAACTCCTGGAAGCAGCAACATGTTCCTTCTCTGGCTCTTACGTGGAGACACGGCCAGGCGGCTCTGCACGCTGTGGTTCCCGGCCAATAGGAGCTGCAGGGGTGGTGCTTGGGGCAGGGGATAGCATGCCGAGTGGAGGCTCCTGGCTGCCCCTAAGCATGGTGGGGGGAGCTATACCGCTGCTTCTGGGGGCCGCGTGGAGTGGCCCCCGACCCTGCTCTTTGGCTGGAGTGCTGGAGCAGGGCAAGTCCCAGAGCGCGCTTTCCAGTAGGAGCTCGAGGGCCACATTAAAACAGCTGGTGGGACGGATGCGGGCCCATCCCTGTATTAGCACATTAGATACTTGATTTGGCATTTTTCAGTGTGTACTGTATCCTTACTGAAAACATTTATCAGTACTTGCCGTTAAAATTTAGATTTGTATCATACCAAATTATTTAATATTTTATAAGGAAAATGTTTTAGGGAACAAGAAGGGGGAACTAAAAAAACCAAGGCATAAAGCTAATTTATATAATGTTCTACATTTTATAAAGAACAATAGAATTAGATGGGGGGCGGGAGACTTTCAAAATACAGTCTTTGTTAAGCAATGCAAACACATTCGTTAGTGACCAGTAAACTGTACTTAGTTTAGCAGCTGGAAAAGGGAAGACGAGTTTTGAACATAAAGGCCTTATGCTATTTCCAGTTTGTTCTATAACTATGTATGGCTTACTGTTACAGACCTCTGAAATCATGTTATCTTTTGTGACATTTTTTACATTTAAACATGACTCATAATTAAAACAAAATTGACATTAACAAGTCATCAGTATTTGTTTTTCACATAACCAGACAATAATTGAAATGATCAGTTTATGAAACACACATTACATAAGTATTTAAAAGAATACTTTTTGGCTATATAGACAGAATTATCTTTTCTTAGGGCTTTATTGTGGCTTTAAGGCACATAGTCCTATGGTGTGGGAAGTGCATCAGGAGCTCAGGGTGGCATTTTGTCTGATTCAGAAACAACGCCTCTAGGAAGCATAGCTTCTATGCCACCTTTTGCAAGAATGCTGGATTCATTTTTTCCCATTCTATGTGGGACGATGGCGTTCTTCTGTCCTCTTATTCATTCATTTTGCATATGTTAGAACCATTGAGAGTGAGGGTCTTGTGGAGCTCTTGCATTTAGAGGACTACAGGGGACAGATTCTGTGCAATCCCTGCACACATGTGCAAAGGGGAGGGAGGTTTTTGTGCTTTCTCCCTTTTCCACCATCTCCTCCTTCTGAACTTTCTTGCACCTGTTCAGGTCCAGGCACAATCCAGCGTTCTATTTGTGATTGAGCCTGATGTGGAAAGAATGTTCTGAAGGAACCTATGTTGGTTTGAAAGTGATAATTTAGTTATTGCCCCTTATTAACTGTATTTTTATCTTGATTATGGAGAATTAGGTAACAAAAGTGTGTGTGTGTGTATCTCTCTCTCTCTAGATATATAGATATATCTATATTGTGACAGACCCAGACCAGTGGGGTACAGGAGTCTGGTAGAGGGCAAATATACTAGTCACCGGGTGAGTAGTTTTCTGTTCCCTGAGTGACCAGAGCAGGGGCTGCACTAGAATAATCAGGAACCTGCTGGAACCAGTTAAGGCAGGCAGGCTGATTAGGACACCTGGAGCCAATTAAGAAGAAGCTGCTAGAATCAATTAAGGCAGGCTAATCAGGGCACCTGGGTTTTAAAAGGAGCTCACTTCAGTTTGTGGGGTGAATGTGAGGAGTAAGAGGCGCAAGAAGCTGAGAGGGTGTACTGCTGGAGGACTGAGGAGCACAAGCGTTATCAGACACCAGGAGGAAGGTCCTGTGGTGAGAATAAGGAAGGTGTTTGGAAGAGGCCATGGGGAAGTAGCCCAGGGAGTTGTGGCTGTCATGCAGTAGTTACAGGAGGCACTATAGACAGCTGCAGTCCACAGGGCCCTGGGCTGGAACTCGGAGTAGAGGGCGGGCCTGGGTTCCCCCCAAACCTCCCAATTGACCTGGACTGTGGGCCCTTCCAGAGGGGAAGGTCTCTGGGCTGTTCCCCAACCCACATGGTGAATCTCTGAGGCAGGAAAGTCCGCCAATAAGCGCAGGACCCACCAAGATAGAGGAGGAACTTTGTCACTATATATATAGATATAGATTATATAGATCCAATTATGGAATGAATTGGTGTCCTCCAAGTGACCACATAGCTGAAATGCAAAATCACCCACAACAAATGATACTCTTGCTGTCCGTATCAGAGGAGAGGCCAAGAGCTGAATTTTTATGGAAACCAAACTCCCCACTCATGCCAAGAGGTGCTTCCTTTAGGTCAGGGTTATGACACATTTGTTTGAGTGGAGGAGTTTGCATTGTTGTTCTCTATGCCCTTCCTGTTCTGTGGATTAATGGAGGATTTCAGTCTCCAAGGCTCACAGTCTAGTACCAGTCCTGGACACAAAATTAACATTAAAAATGAAATATAAAAGCCAGACTTACAAATTTTATAATAGAATTGTAGATAAGTAACATCTCTTGTTAATACATAGGATCAAATTGTGCTGTGATTTAAGTCCCTTTTGTTAGACAAAGTTGGTCTAGCATTCAAGTGTTTGCATTCTCAATCAAATGTAATATGTTATATGAAGGAGTGCTGGAACGGGGCGGAGCCAGGGGTTCATGGCCCTTCCACTTTTTGCCACTGGCCCTGCCCCTTGCCCCTCTTCTCCTCTCCCCCCCACCCTCATGGCCCCACCCCCTGGCCAGGCCGGCAGCTGGAGCTATGGGGAGCCACGGATCCTCCAGTTGCCCTGGACGGGGGTGGTGGCCCTGGGGACTGGGGACACGGACTGGGGGCTGCTCTCGGGCTGTCTCACCCCCCCCACCCCTCCCAGGCAGGTGGAGGGGCCCAGGCTCCCTGGCCCGGCTCCAGCTTCCAGCTTGGCCAGGGGTGGGGCCTTGGGGAAGAGGCGGGGCAGGGCCACAGAGGGGGCAGGGGCTCCTGCCCTCCCCCCCCATTTTTGGGAAGGCTCCACTGTCCATGGTTCTATGGCCTGATATGTGGCATGCAATGTTATATATTTTGGACAGATTCTTAGATTCTAAGGACAGAAGGGACCATTGTGATCATCTGGTCTGACCTCCTGTATAACACATGCCATAGAAGTTCCCTAAAGTAATTCCTAAGCATAGCTTTTACAAAAACATCCAATCTTGATTTAAAAATTGTCAGTGATGGCAGAATCCGTTACAAACCTTGGTAAACTGTTCCAGTGGTTAATTACTCTATTAAAAATTTACTCCTTATTTACAGTTGAATTTGTCTAGCTTCAACTTCCAGCCATTGGAATACCTTTCTTGGCTAGATTGAAGAGCCCATTTTAAAATATTTGTTCCCCATATAGATACTTATAGACTGTAATCAAGCCACTAATATGCTTTTTCAATATGTGAGCCTACACATCTGAGATCTAGTAAGTTTTCCTAATAAACTAGGAAAATTTAATAGTGTGTTTTCTCCAACATGAGATGGGTAAAATAAGGAACCTTTTTCAAATTTGGCCTTGGGTATCTTATTCTCAGAGGTATTTCAGATTCAAGGAATTTGCATATTATTGAGCAGCTAGTTAACTTTTGTTTGTCCTCTGCCTTGTCTTCTGTTAGTTCATCGTATCTTGTTTAGGTTGTTAGGTTTTCAGATCAGGGAATATGTTATATGAGCTAGATTGTCCTTTTTCCTGTATGCAAGGGGAATGGGAAACTGTTTTATGTTTTAAAGTAGAATATCTCTTCATCAGAGAAGGGACACAAGTAAGAGAGTTGACATGTCTGTTGAAAAATAACTACATTTTTATTTTCCAGGTGGGTTGGTCGCTTCTTTGTAAATTAATAGAAGTGTGTCCAGCCACTCTATGTAACATAGCTCCTCAAGATGTTGGAAAGGATTGGGAAGTACTTGGTGTTCATCAGTAAGTACATAAATTTTTACAAACAAATATTGTATGCAAAATGTCTTAGAGTTCTTCTAGAAGAAGAAAGGAGAAAAATGTGTTTTCTAACTCATTAAGTAATTGTTCTAGATTAACTTTTTAACTTGGTTATTACAATTTTATCATATAGTAATGCAAACTAAAAAAATGCACTAGAGTTACATCATAAGACTTAGGTGAAGATTGAAATGTTGTTTGGAACAGGATCTAATGGACAAAAACTAGGATAGCAAAGAGGAAAAAATACTTTTATAAAAAGATTTATTGGAAAGTGAACAAGTAAACTGCTGTATCATTGATTGCCATTCCCATATTAGAAAACCTCTTTGAAATTAACTTGATCCAAGATTATATGAGGAACCTATATAGTGATCAGTGTGTTGTTTGTGTCGAGTATGTTGTTTAGTAGGTAGGCTAAGATAGTAATTGTTGAACCAGCTGGAATTGTTAAGTATTTTCACTCCTAAATACGGTGCTTTACTATTAGAAACCTGGAAGTCTTAAAAGCATGAACTGTCACTAGGTTCTCATTTGGCAGGATGTGGAAAGGTCTCTTAGACAGCCAAAGGCAAATGAAGGCATTTCCGAACCATTTTGACAATATGGGGGCAAACATTTTAGAAAGAGGTTGATATTACAATATTCGCTAGGTCTTCAAATTGATTTATTCTTCTCACCAGCATTACCTCCATTTTCCCCGCGTTCGTCATCAGCAAACTACTGCATCCGAGCACTCATCTCATTTAGGTACCACGACAGCCAGGTGATTCCATTCTTAGCATTCAGAGTGAAAGAAATATTGGGTATCTAAAAGGGTGTCATAAGGAGGAGGGAGAAAACTTGTTCACCTTAGCCTCTAAGGGTAGAACAATGGGCTTAAACTGCAGCAAGAGGGGTTTAGGTTGGACATTAGGAAAAGGTTCCTAACTGTCAGGGTGGTTAAACACTGGAATAAATTGCCTAGGGAGGTTGTGGAATCTCCATCTCTGGAGATATTTAAGAGTAGGTTAGATAAATGTCTATCAAGGATGGTCTAGACAGTATTTGGTCCTGCCATGAGGGCAGGGGACTGGACTCGATGACCTCTCGAGGTCCCTTCCAGTCCTAGAATCTATGAATCTAAATATAGTTCTGTGACATCTACATACTGTTGGCAGATTAGGGCATTTTATGAACTCACCTAGCAGTTACACATATCTTAAGTTGGGAAGAGGATAAAGTTTTGTGGAATTCTACAAGTGAGAACTTGGAAGGTAGAAGTGCAGTCACCTTGTGGTAGAGTTTGAGAGGAAGGATCTCTGCCACTTCATGGAGTTTCCATCAGTCTTGCTAGCTCTTTAAGATGGAACAGCAGCATCTCAGGATTTAAGCTGTCAAATGCAGCCAACTGATGCAGTAATATGGGTAGGGAGGTATGTTCCTCATCGAAGGTTAAGAAAAGGTAGTTCACTAGTGTGGTCAAATATGTAACTGGGAAGGTCCAATATCGCAGGTCAGGTGAGCGCTCTTTCCAATCTTCCCCATTTCTTTTCTCAAGAAGGGTACCAGGTTGTAGTTGGTAAGATCAGTTGCATCAAACTATAGTTTATTATGCAGTGGCTGGACTATAACTTTATATGGTAGATGATAGATTGTTTATATAGTTAATCGTGGGTGCCAACTCCGTGGGTGCTCCAGGGCTGGAGCATGCATGGGGGAAAAAATAGTGGGGGCTCAGTACCCACCAGCTACAGCTGTTCGTGGCGCTGCCGATCAGCTGTTTGATGGCTGTGGAAGAGGCTTGAGGGAGGGCAGAGAGCAGCGAGCAAAGGCAGGAAGAGGTGGAGTGAGGGAGGGACTTCAGGGAAGGGGGAGGAGTGGGGGTGGGAAGAGGTAGAGCGAGAACGGGGCATTGGAGGAAGGGGAGGTGTGGGGTGGGGCTTTGGGGTGGAGCACCACTGGGGAAAAAAGTAAGTCACTGTCTATGGAGTCTGTGCCTTTAAGAAGGCATTAACAGTTTTTGTTTGTAACCATACCAGGTGCTCCACAAGTCAGGAAGGACAATGACTGAACCCATATGGGATAGTTCAGATTTCTTTAGTATTTTAAAGACTCCTTGTTGAGTGATTGGGCCAAATTCTAAGAGGAGTGGTATAATAGTGGCAGTAAATACTGTCATTCGTTCTTGGACTCCAGAAAGCTGATCCCTATTCTCGTGATGTAGTCACACAAGCCTCCCAAGGGTCCACATAATGACAATAGAAGCAAAGCTCCTATCTAGACACAATCTGTTTCTGAGCATGAGCAGTAGGGCATGCTGCTGACATCACCAAACATCATTTCGTACCACTATAAATACTTTGGCTAATTCTGCACAGTCCTATCTGAAAGCATGACTAGAGAAACTAGTACTTGGAAGGAGGTACGCCTAGCATCTTTTTTCGTCAGTGCCAAAGACAGAGCAAATCAGTTGTTATATTTAGAGCTCTTTGTAGGAGTGTCCGGTATGTACCGTAGTGCTGTTGCATGAACTGCCTGATGGTTGCAGAGGGGCGGTATGCAGATAGGCTAGAGATGAAAACATAATTTATATACAGTTGATTTGTACTGTAAGATGATACTCCTTTGTGTATTTTTGGAAAACAGAAATTTTAAGTTAGAAATTTTGACATAGATTGTAAGTGCTCTGGGGCAGGGACTGTCTTTTTACTCTGTGTTTGTACAGCACCTAGCACAATGGGTCCTGATCCATTATAAGGTCTGGTATCTGCTACAGTATGACAAATGAATAATTATAATAATTAATTTGACTAATTGGTTTACAACACTTTCTAGCTCAACCAAGGTATATTAACTGTTACAAAAAACAATGCAGCAATTGAAGTAACTTTTCACATCTTAACTGATATGTTGATAAGTAGTTTATATAACAACTCTCAAAAGAAAAAAAAAAAGGAAATTCTCTCAGCATATCTGGGCTCTTTCTAAATGCTCACAAACCTTTTGCCAGAGCTTTTGTAATCTTTGACATTAAGTTGGTCATACAGTAAATGAGGTGGAAGTGTTTAACTTTCCTCTCTTTCAATTACTTTTGAGATAGGAGGGTGTGTGAAGAATTTCTTTGAGCAATGCACAATCTTTTGATCTTAATAACCATGCCCCATTCTGTGTTTGTTTTGTGTGGCACTATACTGAACCAACTCATGTCTTTAGAATGTAGGTACTTCAGAACTGAGATTTATTGTTTGGCACTGCTCACCGGCTGTGAAATGTCCAGAACACACAGGGGCAAACCTGATTTCCATTTCCCTTCCTGTACTAGAGCTGGTGAGGGTCTGCTGTGCAAAGGAGGGGGTTGGATTTCAGGAGGCTGAGCAGAGTAATATGGGCCAACTCTGGGCCTTGCATTCAAGGTGTGGGACATATATGGACAAGGGAGAAATTGGATAAAAGGATCTGGCTTTCCTCCACAATGGGGTGCATTAGGGATGTTCAGGACTATGGTACTTCAAGCACTGGGTTGAAATATCCTCTGGGAAGTCTGTGGAGCTACTCTACAAGTTTGAAGGGAGAATATTTTCCTTCCCTCCAAGCATCTCCCCAGCATTCAGACCAACTAAAAATTTGTCTGAGGTCTCTGCCTCAGTGTAGAGGACTTGTATAAGTCCTTATGCCCCTCTTAAGTCCGACAAAAGAGATCAATGAATAATATTGCAGGTGCAATGTGACATCTTTTCTCATGAATATCAAGACTATCTTTAACTGAAGCTTGATTTCCACTGTTAAGAATGACCCAAATAGTGCACTTGATCCAAGCCTAAATTTCTATATCCATAGGTTATGCAATGGTCACCTGAAGCCTACACAGGCCTGGTGTTTATTGGATTTGTGTTGGGTCAAGACAGTATCTCACTTCACTGTAAATTGGTACACAAATCCAATATATATGGTAGTTGCTTTCAGATGTATGCCACTGACATAGAACATAGGCAAGCTAGAAATTTCTCTTTATAAATAACACTGCTACACATATTACTTTGTGTGGTATGGAGGGTTGTAAACTGTGGCTGAAGACACCCCGAACTTATGAGGTAGTACCTGCTCTGCTGCTAGCTCATCCCTGGCTCCTAGATATTGCGGTACCACTCTATTGGATTGGGACTCTTTGGCTCGAAGAGATGGGTCTGGAGAAAGGGGCAGGAAAAGCTGGGAACCAGATAATCTCCCTCAGCATATTCCTCTGGGACCCTGTGATTTCCAGGGGAAAATCTGTCCAGAAGTCACTGTGGGTTGAACCATGCTGCGAATCATACTATGGTGACGGAGAGGGAAGACCAGCAAGTTGTGCAAAGGCCTTGGGATTCCATGCTGGTATGCCTGTCTTCCAGGGAGTCTAAAGCTGGATATTGGGGAACCATTTGTTCTAGGCAGGGTAGTGAATTCCTTTCTCCTAGGTGGGACAGTTGTGAGGGAACTCAAATTTGTGAAGAAAATTACTCCGTTGCTCTGCAGGTAAACCCAGCAGCATGTGGCCTGTTATCTTCCTTGGTAAAATATCTTTTATTTTATTTTATTATATTATATATATATATATATATATATATATAGTATGACTTGTATCCCTTTTTTCTTTTTACCATTTTACTCCCGTAGGGCCAAATTCTGCTCTCATGCATATATGTCTCCATTGACTTCAGTGGGAATTGTGCATGTGTATCTAATGGCAGAAGTTGTTCCTCAGCAGTTAAGTGATTTACAAGGGTCCTTTTATCTCGTTCCATTTTGTTATGTAATTGTCTATCATTACATCTTTCTTTTTTAAAAGATGTACAGTATCAATAAACAAAGTATAATATATATAAAAATAAAATATCAAAAACTAGTTATGGTCATTGATGGCTTAAACCAAACTGACAAAGGTATAAAATTTCTTTGAGTCAGAGCTAAAAATGGCTTTAAAAACTTTTCCCTGGGTTAAAAAAATTCTATTTCTTCAAGCAAGTGTTTGCTGTATATCTGTATTTGGTGTACTTTGAACTAACATTTGGTTAGTCTTAATATTTTTTTTCCATTTTAGGCATATTCTTAAAATGCTTACTATCCACAATGCAAACAGAAACCTCTTGATAATAGGACTCAAGGCACTAAATCTACTACTCTCTTCAGGTATTATGCATTTTACTTTCCTAATTGGTATGATATTTTTAATTGTAGACTATAATATAAAATGGGTTATTCGACACATTGGGCCTGATTCTTCTCTGCCATGCACCTCTGTGCAAAGTAGGAGTAAATGCTACAAAATTGTAATAGTGGTATTTTGCACCTACTTTGCACTCACTTTGCACAGGTGTATATAACTCCACTGGCTGCAAAGCAATGGAGAATATAGACTTTCATTTTTGCTTCTCTGAATTTTTGTTCAGAACCATCAACATTAGCATAGTAACAGATGCTTGCTCAGTAGTTAAGTAATTTTTCTTACTAACTGGAAGGGCAAGTTTAACTGATTCTGACCTACTTCCATTTGTAATAGCTAGTATTTCTGAAAAAATCAGACTCTCTCGGAGACATGGTAATTTCTGGTTTCAGAGTAGCAGCCGTGTTAGTCTGTATCCGCAAAAAGATATCATCCGAAGAAGTGGGCTGTAGTCCACGAAAGCTTATGCTCTAATAAATTTGTTAGTCTCTAAGGTGCCACAAGTACTCCTGTTCTTCTTTTTATGGTAATTTCTATCATTCTGCTCACTAACAACCTGATCCTCCTACATCCTGAGAGCTTCCTGTGAGATGCTGAACTCTTTTTGAACTCCCACTGAAATTAATGGGTATCCCCAAGGGTTATATTCTGCCACCCTTACTCTCACTGAATAATATCTTACTGTACATATACAGTAGAACCTCAATTTTATGAACGCCTATTTTACAAACAGTTTGTTATAGGACCATTTTTCCCAATGGGGGGAAAAAAATCACATAATGAAAGTGATATTGTTGAAGAACAAGTCAACATCCCTTCACATTCTGGTGTCTTCTGTGCATTGGAAATAACTTTTCAGTGGTTTGAAGAACAAGAAGAAAGCAATGCAATGCATCATACTGCAAGTTAGGCACCGTACCTACTGTAATTTTGAGATGTTCAGTTTTATGAGTTTTTCAATTTTATGAATTCCTCAATCCCCAATTAGTTCATAAATTAGAGGTTCCACTGTAGTGAGGACTATGGGCTTGATCCAAATCCTTTTGATGCCAGTGGGAGTCAATCCATTGAGGTTTAACAAGTTTTAGGTCAGGCCCTATTTGCAGACCAAGGTACTACTCAATATGAACAATAATGATGGCAAAATATGGCCATTAATGAATGACTACTGCTAGCAGTTTTCCCTCAGTCTCGTATGTCACAATGCTCCTAAGCTATCAACTAGTTATTCTATCATAGGTTATTTCTTACTGATACTGTTCCTCCCAGTGATACAGTGGATGTAATTGATTAATCAAACTTTACCCTTATAGTGTGTGTGTGTGTGTGTGTGTGTGTGTGTGTACTTTAATTATACTCCAGTTAGAACTGCCTGGCCAAGAGAATGCAGAGCTGTAGGACTTTACATTCTATATATACTGTAGGTTCTAAATAGAACAGATTAGCTGCACAATGAATCATACTTTTCATTAACACAACCTTGAAAAATTGTCATGAAAATATTAGTCCAACAAAAAATACACCCTTCCCATGATAATGATTATCATGAAAGAACCTAATCATATTTTACTCATCCATCAGAAAAATCACTTGCCATAGGTGAGTAGTTGCATGCAGTTTTGCAAGGCTGTTTTAACTCTGGCCTTCTGATGAGTTGTTTTACATGATCACCTATTTACTAGACACTTTCACCAAAAGACAGAGTTTATCATAAGCTTTTAAAGAACCCATGTTAATTTAAAACGCGTTCAAGACGTAGAAAATGCCGTTAGCATTTTTTATTCTTTATAATACAAGCAGTTGGCCTGATACTTCAGTCCTTATACAGGCAATGGTTCCTTTGGGAGTTTTGCCTGCATAGGAACTGAAGGATTGAGCCTAGTGACAGCAAGTGACTCTGGGAAACCCATATTTGCTGTAACAACACATGGATTTGACCCATCATAGTGAAGAACAAAACTAACACTTTTTAAAAGACCATATGAAATAATTTGTAATCAAGTACTGTGCTTCAGATAGAAATGATCAACGTAGTTTAGTACAGAATATAATCACGTCTTATTCTCTCTTCTGCTGTATAGATATAATTACCATTATGCTCTTGGATGAAGAGACAGATGTATTTTTGTTGGTGTTTGATGCTATGCAAACCTTCCCAAACAATGAAGAAATCCAGCAATATGGATGTAAAACTTTGCACATGCTTTTTGAGAAAGGTATTTATATTTTGCAGTTTATCAAGATGAAATTACTCATAATTTGGGAATAAACTAAAGATGCATACCTAGCTGCAAAAATACATGCTATGAGTTCTGAACTGTTATATTTTTATATAAGTAAAGAAAGGATCACACCTCAGTTGATTGGGTGAATCAATACAAAACCCAGCTTTCAAGATCATACAAGAAAATACTCCATTGACTTGAGTGCTGCTAAAAAGCTGTCAGTCCAATGTCCATTTGTAAATGTTTTCAGTTCAGAATAGTTGTGATTCTGATTTCTGTTTCTGAAATTGCTAAAGGTTTGAAGACTTTCACATTTACTGTATAATCGTTTGTTTTAATGTATTCAGAAAAAGAAAATCTTTATGTACTGAAAACCTGCGAAATAGTTTTTACTTGCCATAGCTGGTTTTGATAGATCATGATATTATTAAAGCAGGTCTTTAATCAAAGTGAATCATCTTGTTTTAAAGTTAATTTTAAGAAATGCAACACCTTTACTGAACCCACAACTATTTCTGCTCACAGGGCTGGCCCACAACATTTTGGCACCTGAAGCGGGGAGCTCAAATGAAATCCCTATGCCCCCTCGCTTGGGCCAAAACTTTGAAAGGTCTCAATTCTGCCTTCTTCCTGTTCTGTTCCTCTCATGGTACTGCTCTGCTACCTACTCTAATAAAGGAGAACTAACAAACTTAAACACTTACATTTTCTGTTCAGGCATTTGAAAGTTAACTTTTCTTATCTGCACAGTAAACACGGACGTTTTTATCTGTTTGAATAATCAAAGTGGTGCTTTCCGTGCATTCTTGGTTGCAAAGATTTGACCTGCTTCCTGAAGGTCCACAGTCTGGGCCAGCTCATGCTCTACTGAGATGGTTACAAGGCTGACCAGCCTCTTCTGTGTCATTGTGGAGCGTAGATGTGTTTTTATTAACTTCAGTTTGGAGAAGCTGCGTTCTCGACTGACAACTGTTACAGGAAGTGTTATAAGTATGTGCAGAGCAACAAAAGCATTTGGAAAGAGGGTGGTCATCTTATTTGTGCGCATATATTCCAGAACAGCCTTTGGAGTTGATCTTGCTGAAATGTATCTTGAAAGGGCTTTCAGTTCATCACCTAAAACACTCGCATCAATATCACACATGTCATCATGTGTCAACACTGTGTCTAGTGCCCTGCATTACTGGGGTAGGTCTTCAGGTAGAGTGAGGAGTTTTGGAATATCATACAACATCCCAAATATACTGCTGTGTTCCTTGAGCTGCATGAAATGTTCTTTAACTGACTGTATTGCACAATCTAGCACCTCGTTAAAGAATTCAACTTTGAATTATTTGGGTCTCTTATGGGATTATCCCGTGCCTTGTAATCAAAATGTCGTCTTCTTCGGTGACTCTTGTATTCTTGAATGAGTGGGAAAATAGCTTCAGTGTGAAGTTCCTCTGCCAACTTCTGTGCACTCTTCAGAACGTTTTGAAATTCCTCATCTGACCGGTAAGACTGTAGGTATGACTTTGCTTTGTCCAGTTGTTCCATTGTTCCAGATATATCAAGCTCAACACCTTGAGGAATCTCTTGCTTACCACATTTATTTCAAACAGTATGTCATGCCACAACACTAAGCCACACAGAAATTTAAAGTTATGTTTGTTTCCGGTGATTCCATTTCCCTCTGCCACTGTTCTCCTACAAACACTGTCATAGCATTATCCTCCATAATGGCAACTATGGCATCATCTATCTTCCCAATTTGGTGTTTGATAGGCTTTATTTCCTCCACTCAACTTTCCCATCATGTGGCACTCAGTGGTTTTAGTGTCAGAGAGGATGTTGCTTCAACATTTGCCATCGATGAGTTGATGGAGACAAAAATACATAGATGCTTTGAATTACATTAAAAATTTCAGCAGCCTCCCTAGAAGCTAATGCTGCATCACTGATCACCAAGTTCAATGGATGAGAACTGCCTGGCACAAAAAAAGCTGGAGGGTTTACCTCTCGGATTCGTGTCTGTACTCCTCTGTTCTTTCCTCTCATGTTGGCACCATTATGTAGCCCTGACCTCTTATGTCAGCTATCGCAATTCCCATATCTTCCAGCTTTTGAAGAAGCACATTTGTCATATGAGCTCCTGTAGTATCCTCAATGTCAATACATTCTAGAAAATGCTCTCTGACAGTCATCAGTGCAGGGACATTTTCACTAGGTTCTGTTGTTCTAAAACACACCATTAAAGTCCTTTGTTCTTGTCGGAGAATAACAGAGTTCTCACTTTCTGTTTGGGTACAGCAAGTCAGATACTTTATTTTCCCAAGCAATTGTGTAGAGGGAGAGAGCTCAACAGGTAAACAATTACAGCAAGCATTTATACCTTTTGTTACAGACAATGAGCAACAGCTGCATTTTGTTTATACATGGGTCATTCTGATATCTTGTTTTGCTCACTAATGTAGGCTCTTAATATGGAATGTAGACTATCTACACAAGGTCGCAACAACTTCTCTCACAGTTCTTTCCCATTCGCCTCACACATTCCTCGCTTCTACAAATCTCACGTTATTAGGGTTACAGTTAGCCTGACTCTTGCTAACGAACTGTCATACATTGCATCCCCTTCCTGTCAGTTCTTTCTCTGCTTCCACAATCCCCCCCCCTTTTGTACTACTAGTACAACAAACATTTTCAAATCTCTATTTGCATTAAGTCTTGGAATTCAGATTCTACTTAAGGGGTTTTGATTGGATGTAATGACAATGCATGATGAGCATGGACATGAAAGGTATTACTATTATTACGTCCTTAACGACAACAACACCATACTCCTACACTAACACCAACACAAACAATAATATTCCCATAGCAATAATATGATGGGGTTGTTGTACAGTCTTAGTCATAAAACACAATACATCATACTTAGTACATAAGGTGGACACTCTATAAGCTGTATGAAAGGCTTACTTTTCAACTTTATATATATATTTTGAAGCATGTGAATTTGCCCTTGTATTTCAGAGATTTTTCTGAACCTCTGGTAACAGTGAAAGCAAATTTTGAAATCGATCAGGTACTAACCTAGTCCAATTAAAGGGTATCTGGAACCTAAGGGCAAATTGCAAAATTCTATCTGCAGGCCAGTAAATAATATGATTCCCTGAAGTGGTAATGAGATTAAAATGTATGTCTTGCAATGTGGTGGCTTTAACATACACACAGCTATCATTAGTTTGAAAAAGTAAATGTTCTGTCAGGGTAGTTCCTTGTCCCCTACCCTCCCAGCAAACGTAGTCATGAAGAGTAACAACTGCTCCTGGCTTCAATTTACGGATACACTGAAGCTGTGGGGGTTCTAACAGCCAAAATGTCCATTGACTCCCTAACCCCATCCAAATGTCAGATGTAATCCCAGGAGCACTGACTAAAAATCGATTGGGCATACCAGGAGGTCTAATTACCCAGATGTCTCGGTGAATTACCCAATCCCACATGCATCCTCCCCATGGACCCCACAGGATTTGGTATGTGGGAGCCCACCCCTCCACTCCCCAACCGGTCCATATGCTTGGAAGGAGCTCTGAGAACGTCTGCACTTCCCTCCAGAAAGTCTTCGAGTATGTCTCCATAGCCACAGATCAGATGGTACTCCTGATGTGTCTGTAAGGGCAGTGGGCCAAGCCTGATGCTCTAGATCATTCCAAATGGCCATTAGCTGGTCATTCAGGAAATCCTGAATTTCTGAACATGCTAGATCCCACTGCAATGCCTTCCCAGCCTCAGTGATATTCAATACCATCTCTGTCAGCAACTTCTGGGTCATTGAGCTAAGGGCGGAAATAACATGTAACTCACCAACTCCAGCCTGTACCTGGGTTAGTTGTGCCCCAGAAACAAGGCCAATGGCCTTCTCTAGTTGCCCCAATTTCTCATCATGTTTTGGTTCTTAAAAATATTCCAAACTGCTGCTGCACTATTGGCCCCATCCCAAAGGGATCTGGTCAAGTGTCTCTTCTTTCTAGAGGAAATAACCCAAGCCCTCTGTTGTGCTAATCTAATGGCAGCCCCCTGTGAGCAATTTGGGTATGTAGAGGTGATCTGGAAACTGGCTAAGGGCAATGAAAATTTAACAGTCCCTAGTGTAGTGTTAATCACAGTCCATTGATATCCTAATACATCTCTCTTTGGTGTAGTACTATACCACATCTGTTGGTTGAACACCTTTATGTACTTCCTGGAGGCATTGATATTAATGGCATAAGAAGGGGTGTATTGCAATAAGGTACAGGTCACATTATTAGTCACTGGAATAATTTCTATGCAGGTAAAATTTCCAGTGGCAAAACAAACTCTTTGGGTATTCGTTTAATTGTTCACTAATTGGGTGACCAAATAACAATAAGGGCCCCTCATTTAACACAGTGCAAATTCCAGGAAAATTCGCTATAGAACCCATCAATTGCAATTACAGATTCTTGGGGTTCACTGGTAATGATATCACATACTTTTATCTCCACTGATCCATTCTTTTCCATTCAATTGTTCGCTTATATGGGATATCCTGAACCTTAAAAATATTTTTTTCAAACAATATTTAAATAAATTACTAAAGTGTGAAGGCCTTGGCCATTGGTTTTATCAAATATATGACATTGTCTGTATTTGGATGTGTTACAGGGGTAATAGTGTAATGGAGAAGATGGCAGGGGCAATGGCAACAAGGTGCCTTTGATACTTATCATTTAAAATCCAATTAGGGAGGGCAATACATGCTGAAGGACTTATCCAAAACACCGGGCACAGCCTGTAGAATAAACCCCAAAATCCAATCAATACCACGTTCCCAAGCATGGGTCCCACAAGTTTCTTCCTGCCAGTGTATAATTCTTTGTTTCTTGACCAGGGTGAGTTCTTAATGTCTTTTGTAGTCAGGAATTCCTCGACTTTGTGGTTTCAATGAAGTGAGTGTTCCTTCTTTTTTCCTGAAACAGTGTGGTTTAGCATCATACAGGGGAGCGGTTACTAGCACAACACCCTGTAATGGTTTTGCTTCTTCTAGAAAAATCCAAAGGCACAGTAGGTCTGTCAGTGGACAAGGGAGAGGTTACTAGCACTTCACCTTGTCTTTTTTTTCTTTTTCCTGCTGTCCAGAAGACACAGCAGAGCTAGAAGGAGAAATAAGCTTATCAGTTGGAGAGTCCTCCCGAGGTGGAGGGGTCTTTTTACAGTGAGAAGCATGGGTCCAGGCAGGTAGTCCTTGGCACTTCACAGCGTTGTTGGTGGTTAACAGGACTTGGAAAGGGCCTTTTCAGTGTGGAGCCAAAGCAGTCTTTCGTTGATGGACTTTATGTAGACTCAGTCTCCTTGTCTCAATGAATGGCAGGACTACTAGGGTCTTTGGGTAGCACTTCTTTTATCTGTGAGAAAAGAAACCTAACACATTTCATTAATGCCTGACAGTGTTTTGCAGATCTCATAGTTGTTTGGGCACATTCAGGCCCCTCCTTTTCTTGGTTGTCAGCCAAGTCTTAGCTGTAGCAGTGTCCTTGAATGGGGCCAGCGTCTTATCTTTGGACTGAGCTTGCTAGCTATTTTTTCCAGTTAACTCGTTCTGTTCTTTTTCCTTCTCCCCTTTTTGGCTGCTTTTAACCTACAAAGGAAACTTCCACTCTTCACTCATACACCTTTTCCCAACAATGAACACATACACATTGCCATTATACAGTACATTAGTCTTATTATTCAATGTATGCCATATACACCTTCCAGTAAAATAACTTCTATACAGAGCTTTGGAGCAACAAACCAGGACAAGCACACCCACTTTTGAGGAGTCCACTCGGTAC